TGCAATGTTCATTGTCTGATTTCTTGTTTGCTACATCCATCGTCATTGATTACAGATTCAAGTGTTCTGGTTACCTAGTGCCTCTCTGACAAGAATATACCACAAATGGGATGGCCTTAACAAACATGAGTTTATTCTCTCACAGTTTGGAGGCTTTAAGTCCAAGTTCAAAGTGCCAGGCTTTAGGGGCTGGGTGAAAGCCTCTCAACCTTGGGGTCTAGCTCTGCCTCCTGCTCCCGGCCCACTGGAGCTAGAGGCATTTCTTCGCTCAGATAGCTGCTGGTTGCTGAGGAGGACAAGCCCAAGGTTGAAAGTAAAAAAGCATAGTCCTGATGTTACCAAACCACATAGCAGGTCATTAATTCAAGTCCACTGTAAGTCCCAAGGTCGGAAGAGCATGTCAGGCTGCTGAACAATGAATGACATGGCTACATGCAGAGACCAAGTGTGCCATACGTGGAGACCATTCCCAAATCTGCTACTTATATACAGGAAGCAGACCACATCCCAGAGGCAGCTACTCAGCTTCTCATAGTAGATTCCTCCATGGTGGAACCTTATCATGGGGAATAACTACATCCAGCTGCCCAGCTACTCACCCACTCATCCAAGGCCATGCAAGTTGACACACAAACTTAACTACCACACTTGGCAACTTTGATTTTTACTCCATTTATCATGATGCTTAATGGTCTGGTGGTGAGGAATTCTGTTTGCTGTATGTTAAGGTATAATTCCTATTGAAGGCTATAGTCTTTGATGTTCATCAATAAGTGCTTCAAGTCGTCATCTCTTTAACTTCTATCACCCAAGATCTCTGGGCTATTTTATCCTGGCTTCACCAAATTCCTAAAAAATTAAAATTATTGAAATCCTTGGAGTGGATGGCTGCACAGCTTTTAAAGATGTATTTGCTATTCCACTTGTAATATATTCCTTTCCCCCTATACAAGCTTTCCACATTACTATGTTGACCCTTTAATGTTGTAAAAATTCAAGATTACAAACCAAACCCAACAAAAAAGCTATGTTTCTATTTATCAAACATTTTTATACCAACAATTGACGTGTTATTGTTCTGTTTTATAGATATTAACTAATCTCATGCTCTAAACAATACCCTAGAAGCTCTGGTAGCATAGTGCCTAAGGCACTTGACTGCTAACCAGAAGGCTGGTGGATCAAACCCATGAGCCACTCCTCAGAAGGAAGGTTGGGCAATCTACTTCTGTAGTGATACTACGTCAGACACCCAAGGAGGGGTTGCGACTTGATGGCACATAACAACAACAACAACAACAACAACAATACCCTGAGGCTCTCTGGTGGTGCAATGGTTAAAGCATTAGGCTGCTAACCAACAAATTAGCAGTTTGCACTCCCCACGTGGTCCTCAGGATACAGGTTAGGCAGTCTTCTTCATAAGGATTTACAGCCTTGAAAAACCTATTAAGCAGTTCTATTCTGTTCTGTAGGGTCACTGTGAGTCAGATTAGAGTCAATGGCAGTGAGTTTGAGTTGACAATAACACTATGAGGTTGTTGTTGTTGTTGTTGTTGTTATGTGCCCTCGAGTTGGACCCAACTCATAGAAACCCCTCCTTGGGTTTCTGAGGTGGTATCACTACAGAAGTAGATTGCTCAACCTTCCTTCCAAGGAGTGGCTGGTGCTTTATTTCCTTATTTTTACAGAAAAGGAAATTGAGGCATGTAGAGGTTAAATACCACATCCAAAGTATTTAAACTAGTAAGTGCTAAAACCAGTCTTCAAACTCCAATGGTTTAGTTTCAAAATTTATCTCCTATCCTCTATGCTCTATTGCACCTCCAGAGTAGGAAACTAGATTGGGAAAAGTGATAAACAGCTCCAGAAATGCAAATCCTATTATAGGTAGATTAAAAAGCAAAAACAAAAAACCCAAACTCACTGCTGTTGAGTCAATTCCTCTCATAGTGACCCCTCCTTGGGTTTCTGAGGCAATATCTCTACTGAAGTAGATTGCCTAATCTTCCTTCTGAGGAGTGTCTGGTGGGTTTGAATTGCTATCCTTTAGGTTAGCAGTCAAATGCCATAGGCACTACACCACCAGAGCTCCCCATAGGTAGAATAAAAAGGGAAAATTATTTTTCCCTTAAAAATACCACAACTTTTATTGTGGTTTAGGGAAAACTTTATAGAGCAAATTAGTTTTCTATTCAATGATTTATACATCTTTTGTTTCATGATATTGATTATAATCCATACAATGTAATAGCACTCTCCCTACTCTTTCTGGGCTCCCCATTTCCCTTCATCCTCCTTTCCAGCTCCTTCCTGCTTTAGAAGCTTTGTTTTGGGGCAAATATTGCCCCTTTAGTCTCAGATCATTGATTGTTCTAAGGAGTGTGTTCCTTCCTGGTGTTATCTTTCATTTTATAGGCCTTTCTATTGTTTAAGGTTGATGTATGGGGGTGAGATCAGTTCCACATTTGAAGATTATCTAAAAACCATAATCTTGGATGTTTCAGCAGTCTTTATCAAAGTAGTAAGTCTGATTTGTGTGTGTGTGTGTGTATATGTGTGATTTTAAGTTTTGCTCCACATTTTTCTTCCACTTTATCCAGGGCTTTCCATTGTGATCCCAATCAGAGTGGTTGGTAGTGGTAGTCAGGCACCATCTAGTTCTTCTGGTCTCAGGATAGTAGAGGCTGTGCTTGATGGTCTACTAGTCCTTTGGACTAATTGTTTCCTTGTGTCTTTGATTTCCTTCACTCCTCTTTGCTTTGGATGGGGAGAGACCACTAATTTCATCTTTGATGGCTGTTCATAAGCTTGTAAGTCCTCAGTCGCTAATCGCCAAGGTTTAATGTAGAATATTGTCTTTGTGTACTGTTATACCATTGACATAGATGTCCCCTGAGACAATGGTCCTTAGTTCCCAAGCCCAATAACTCATTCTCTCAAAGTGTTTGGTTATAGAAAAGAAGTTTTCAAAACTTTGCCCTCTGTATGCTCTATTATATATAAACATCTATTCACTTCACATATAAATATACATGTAGAAATAGCTTCTGTCAACTCAGTGTCTATTTCTGGGTGTAGTCTTTACTATAGGAGATACATTATTTGGCCTTTTCTTATCTTCTGTCCTTACCACTTATCCTGTTGCTCAATAAGCTCTAGGTTACACTGGACTAATTTTTCTAAAAAAAATGTTATGTTTATTTCTATATTAGGCTCTTAAAAACTCCCTCAGTTTTGCCTGCTTTGCTTTTTCTTGTTATTTAGCTCTCTACTTAAATTGATCTAACCAGATCAGCTCCCTTGATAACCCAGATCTATACCAATTAACTTTTTCTGTGAAACAAACAGCCCTAACCCCCAAGGCTGAAAGCAAAAATTATTTAATATAAAGCAAACATAAGTGGCTTGGCTGTCAATCAATAATATTGTCTGGGTTCATGCTTAGCTTCGTAGACCTGAAGTCTTGCTTATACATCAGTAAGTTGACTATAGGCTCTGCTCTAAATTGGGCTCAGGTCACAGTAGATTATCTGAGAAGGCTCTGCTACTGTAAGTTAGCCCAGTCATTTCTTTCTTATGATGATGGCAGAAGATCAAGAAAGCAAACTCAATTTTGTTACAGCTTTTTGCATCCCATTGACCAAATTAAATTACATAGACAAAATCAGAATCAAGAAGAAAGTAAATATATTTTACCTCTTGATGGGAAGAACTGCAAAGTCATATCACCACAGATAAGAAGGGAGATGAAGATTTTGAGACTTGAGTCATTAAAATAACTTCACTGCCTTATTATTCCCTTTCCCAGCTTTATTTTCTTGATATGAACTATCAGTAATCTCTGTGAGGATAGATGTTTGTTTGATTTACCATTATACCGCCAGTGCACAGAACAGTGTTTGATATCTATTATGAACTCAAAACTACTTGTTGGATTAGTAAATGATTTAATGGATTATACTCATTTATAATATAGCAGCAATCATAAAATAAATTTATTAGTTTATCCTACTTGTGACAGATCCCAAAATCACATGGAATAACTGAACTAATTGAGCAATTACATCTGTAGTTCATTTAAGTGGAATATTCTCTTTTAGTAATGTCTGCAATTCCTAGAGCATAGCACAGTGCCTGGAATTCTAAAGGATATGGAAATTAATAAGTAGATAAAAGAGTGCATGAATCGAATGAACTAAGATTGTGAGAGTAGCATATGTAAGTGGATAATAGAACTTCCAAGACTTCACAATTTTCATTTAAACCCTGGTACTATGATATAAAGGAACATTGATAGTATGGTTTAAATGAGCCCTGGTAGTACATTGATCAAAGCAGTTGGTTGCTGGGCAAAAGAATTTTGGTTTAAACCCACCAGCTCTTCCACAGAAGAAAGATGTGTCACTCTGCTTCTATAAAGATATACAGCTTTGGAAGCTATATAGGTTCACTGTGAGTCAGAATCAACCCAATGAAAACAGGTTTTCTTTCTTTCTTTCTTTCTTTTTTTTTTTTTGGTGTATAGTATAAAAATGATTGCTATTTCTTATTTAGATAAATTAAGCACTTTGGAAAAGATCACATAGCTAGGAAATGCTTGAATACATATTTTTCTAGTCAGAGATCTTTTCTTTTTTTAACAGCACAGTTGGTGCATTTTTAAATGTTCAGAGATATGATAGAATGGAAAAGTGAATAGAATTAAAATCGATTAATAAAATGATTGAATACTAGAGGAACACAGGATGGATTCAGATCCTAAGTATTTTCAGTTCCTTGAAGTAAGCCAAACATATTGGTCCAATGATGCATTTCGTGGCTATCCAACCAGAAAACACCATTTTATGCAGCTTAATCAAATGATCATATGATTCAGAATGAATTCAACTAGGAAAAAAAAATTGTTTTAAATTCATGGACAATGAATGAAAAATACATAAGTAGAGAAGGGAGATTATAAAATTTACTGAAAGATTTGCTTTTCTTTCATTTTACAGGCTCAACAGCTTACTGATCTGGAGCAAAAATTGGCTGTAGCTAAAAATGAATTGGAGAAAGCAGCTCTTGATAGGGTAAGTCTACATCATTGAACCAGCACAACCTGGTTTTAGAAAAGACGTGAGGATATGTTCATTTTCTCACTTGATTTACTGATGCAATCCAGTTGCTGTGCATATAAGATAGGTATAGAATTCATAAGTTCTTGGTATTTCCTTTGGAATAAAATTGTTTCCTTATTTTTGCTGCTCAGAAGAAGGAAGGGATCATCTACTTTTCAAAGAATTGGCCAGATAAATCTTATGAATAGCAGTGAAACACTGTCTGCTATAATACTGGAAAACTTTCAGAATAGCCCCCAAACATTGTCTGATACAGTGCTGGAAAATGAGTCCCTTAAGGCAGAAGGCACTCAAATATGACTGGAGAAGACCTGCCTCCTCAAAGTAGAGTCAACTTTAATGATGTGGGTGGAGTAAAGCTTTCAGGACCTCCACTTGCTGATGGGGCAAGACTCAAAATGGGAGAAACTGCTGCAAAGGTCCATTAATAATCAAAACATGGAATGTAGGAAGTATGAATGTAGGTGCGGTGTAGTAAATTATTTAGTGTGGCTTTTCTACCCATAAGTCTTTGTAAACTCCAAGGTGGGATTATCTATGAGCAACTGAGGAGCTCCTGATTGCTGAAGTTGTCCACCTGGAGTATTTCTGTTGGGAGTGGAACAAAACAGTGTTCTGGGAGGTTCCCACTGTCTCTCAGGTGCTTAGAGTTTTGATGCTATGATTGGCTAGTTTGACCACCCTGCCGGGCTCAAAAGGAGGCCTCCTAGAGGCAGAACTCTCTCTGACTGTTGGTTGAGGAAGATGTGCTGCTGAAAGAGACATGGGCTCCTGAGACACGTGCTGTTGGGAAAGAGACACAAGAGACACACATTGCTGAGTGAGACACCAAGGGACCAGCACTGCTGGGAAAGAGACTGTGAGAGACTGTTGGCTGAGGGACGGCAGGCTGGGAGAGAGACTGAGCATTTTTCCTGAACTTGAATTGTAGCCTGTGGTGCTTCCCTAATAAAACTCATAATCTGTGAGCTCTATGTGGACACTGCAGTGAATTATCGAACCCAGGAGAGAGGTGGTGGGTGCTTTGGGAAGAATGGTTGGTGAAAGGGCTGGAGGGAGACAGCATGTCTGGCCTGGTAGTAATAGGCCTTGTGCTATTGATGGTGATTCCGCCTTCCTCTTGTGGGATTAGAGGAGTCAGAACATGTGCCCTCCTTGTCCTTTTTGCAGGAGGAAAATTGGATGTTGCCAAAAATGAAATGGAACACATAAAGATCAATTTTGTAGGCATTAGTGAGCTGAAGTGGACTGGTTTTGGTCATTTTGAATCAGAAAATAATATTGTTTATTATCCCAGGAATGACAAATTGAAAAGAAATGGTGTGGCATTCATCCTCACAAAGAATGTTTCAAGATCTATCCTGAAGCAAAATACTGTCAATTATAGGATAATATCCATATACCTACAAGCAAGACAGTTAGTACTACTATTATTCAACTTTACTCACAAACCACCAAAGCCAAAGATGCAGAAATTGAAGATTTTTACTAATGTCAGCAATCTAAAACTGACCAAGCCATCAAGATGTATTGATTATTATTGGGGATTGGAATGCAAAATTTGGAAAGAAAAAATCACCAGTAGTTAAAAGTATGGCCTTGGTGACAGAAAGGATGCCAAAGATCACATGATAGAATTTTGCCAGACCAACATTCATTGCAAATACTTTTTTTCAATAACATAAATGGAGGCTATACATGTGTTCGGTACTAGATGGAATACACAGGAATCAGATTGACTACATCTGTGGAAAGAGGTGAGGGAGAAGCTCAATATCTTCATCCAAAACAAGGTCAGAAGCTGACTGTGGAACTGACCATCAACTGTTCATATGCAAGTTCAAGTTGAAGATGAAGACAAGTAAAAAAAGTCTGTTAGAGGCAAAATATGACCTTCAGTATATCCCACCTGAATTTAGAGACCATCTGAAGAATAGATTTGACACATTATACCAATGACCAAAGACCAGACAATAGATCAAGAACATCATCCATGAAGTAAGGAAAAGGACATTAAAAAGACAGGAAAGGAAGAAAATACCAAAATGGATGTCAGAAGAGACTCCAAAACTTTCTCTTGAACAGAGAGTAACTAAAGCAAATGGAAGAAATGACAAGACAAAAGAACTGAACAGAAGATTTCAAAGATCAGCTTGAGAAGACAAAGTCAATTATCATAATGAAATATGCAAAAACCTGAAGTTAGAATGCCAAAAGAGAAAAACACGTTTGGCATTTCTCAAGCTGAAATAACTGAACAATAAATTAAAGCCTCAAGTTGTGATATTGAAAAATTCTTTGGGAAAAACACTGAATGATGCAGACAGTATTAAAAGAAGATGGACTACACCGTCACTGTCCAAAAAGAATTGGTTGATCTTCATCTATTTTAAGAGGATGCATATGATCAAGAACCAGTGGTATTGAAGGAAGAAGTTGAAGCTTCACTGGAGGAACTGGCAAAAAACAAGGCTCTGGGAATAGACAGAATATCCATTGAGATGTTTCAAAAACCAATGCCGTGCTTCCAAATCTATGCCAAGAGATTTGGAAGAGAGCTACCTGGCCAACTGACTGGAAGAGATCCATATTTGTACCCATTCCAAAGAAAGGTGATCCCACAGAATGTGGAAATTATTGACAATATCATTAATATTATATGCAAGTAAAATCTTATTGAAGATAATTCCAAAATGGTTGCAGTAGTATATTGACAGAGAACTTTCTGAGGTGCAAGCTGGATTCAGAAGAGGACATAGAACGAAGCACATCCTTGCTGATGTCTGATGAATCTTGGCTGAAAGCAAAGAATAGCAGAAAGATGTTTACTTATGTTTTATTGACCATGCAAAAGCATTTGAGTGTGTGGATCATGACGTATTATGGATATCACTGAGAAGAATGGAAATTCCAGAACACTTAATTGGACGCACGAGGAAGCTGTTCATAGACCAGGAGGCTGTCATTTAAACAGAATACTGTATGTTTTAAAATCAGTAAGGGAGTGGGTCAGGGTTTTACCTTTCACTATACTTATTTAATCTGCATGCTGAGCAAATAATTTGAGCTGGACTACAAGAAGAATAACATGGCATCAGGATTGGAGGAAGGCTCCTTAACAATTTGCGATATGCAGAAGACACAACTTTTCTGGCTGAAAGTAAGGATGACTCAAAGCACTTACTGATGAAGACTGAAAACTACAGTTTGCAGTATGGATTATGTGTCAATATAAAGAAAACAAAAGTCCTCACAGCTGGACCAATAAGAAGCATCATGATAAATGGAGAAAAGATTGAAGTTGTCAAAGACTTCATATTATTTGGTTCTACAATTAATGTCAATGGAAGCAGCAGTCAACACATCAAAAGATGTATTGTACTGGAAAAATCTGTTGCAAAAGACCTCTTTAAAGTGCTGAAGATCAAAGATTTCTCCTTGAAGACTAACGTGGGCCTAACCCAAGCCATGAATTTTCAATAGCCTCATATGCATGTGAGAACTGGACAATGAAGAAGAATGACCGAAGAAGAGTTGATGCTTTTGAGCTGTAGTATTGGTGAAGCATACGGGAAGTACCACAGACTGCCAAAAGAATGAAGGAATCTGTCCTGGAAGGGTGCAATTAGAATGCTCCTTGGAAGTGAGAATGGCTAGACTTCCACCTACTTTGGTCATGTTGTCAGAAGGGACCATTCTCAGTAGAAGGACATCGTGCTTGGTAAAGTGGAGGATCGAAGAAAAAGGTGAAGGCCCTTAACCAGATGGATTGGCACAGTGGCCACAACGATGGACCCAGGTATAGCAGGGATCATGAGGCTGGCACCGGCCTGGGCAGTGTCTTGTTCTGTTGTCATAGGGTCACTATGAGTAGAAGACAACTCGATGACACCTAACAACAACAACAAATAGAAAATATGTGTTAAATTATAGATATCAAATTCCTGTGTGATATAAATTGTTAAGCTCTCAACCACTAATCAAAGGGCTTAGTGGTTCAAATCTATCAGAGAAAACAAAAGCAAGACCTGGAAATACACTTTCAAGAGGTGTTAGCTGTTGAAAACCCTATGGAGCACAGTTCTACTCTTTCAGCCATGGGATCTCCATGAATTCACTTCAGGGCAACAGGTTTGTTTAATTTTTTTTTTGTTCAACGTAAGTATGTCAGTGATAATATTAACTTGATAACGGTTTATAATCCAAGTACAAAACTGAAATTATGTAATAAATAAATAAATAAATAAACCTCTATGATCCTTACAAAAGACCCACTTTAAATATAAAGGCAGAGAAAGTCTGTAAGTAAAAGAATGGGGGGGGGGAATAAACTATGCAAACCCAAACCCAAATATAGCTTGTATATCAATTCTAACATGATTCAAAAAATTTAAGGCTGAGAATTTTTTTTTGTGACCAGAGCTATATTATATTGGATCCATACAAGCAGAAAATATTATAATTTTGCAGTAGTATGTATTAGAAATAATTTCTTCGAAATGCATATAAATAAAAAAAATGTATGGTTAAAGTCCATGCACTTTTCTATTTTGTGTTGTATTGCAATAAACATGATTAATAAAATAAAATACACTTAACTTCACTCTTAAAATGGCAAGTGTGAATAAAAATAATGAGGCTTCATTTCATTAGCATAATTTGGGGAAAAAAAGAAAAAACTCTGATATCAAATCCTTACCAGTGTATGATGAAACAGTTACCCTCATGTACTGTTGGGAGAGTACAATTTGTACAAGCCTGTTGGAATGTTCTGCCTTACATCGAGTCTCCCTGATTTGCTTGCATATAAGCCCTTCTGTCAGTCAATGGCCAAATAAGTTTTAAACACTGTCTCTGTCACCATCCTGTGCTAAGAGCTGTGAGAAATAGACTACACTTATAAGACATGGTTTTGGGCTCTACATTTTGCACAGTTTTTTTTTTTCTTTTTT